TGTTAATTTGTAATCAAACAATATTGTATATTCAGTACTCGTAATCATTCCATGTATTCAGTTAGAGTTTGTGACTCAGTACTACCAGTCTTGGGAGGTTGTATATTGTAATTATTTCCGCTGTTAGTTTCAAAAAAAAAAAAATGGCTTCAAAAAGTAATTGAAATTGGCTTACCTAGTCTTAGAGACTAGGTGCCATCACGATGTCTGTGGTGGGATTTTGGGTCGTGACATCTATCCTGTGTGAACAACCCCCGACCCCTGGTTCACAAGTCCCCTCCATGAAGACCCCTGTCGAGCACCTCTTCTATAATGACACCCTCACGCCTTCTCTTCTACAAAACCCCACTAAACGTGAGCCTTACCCATCAGAGTACCAGTAATGAGCCCCCTCCCCCCGGTCGCGAGCCTTCTGCTCTCCCCTCTGCCCCTCCCACCTTCTCCTTTTTATGGCAGAAAACGTACCCAGCAGTCAATATGCTATTATATTCTTAGGCCAGCTATCCTTTAGGCCCTTCACCTCTATAAGGGCCATCCTATCTCTATACTCTTCAATATAAATAGTCGTATGATGACTACAAGGAAATATCTGTCCCTTCAAATACATCCGATAAAATTGGAATGATACAAAGATGATATACGGGAGGATCAAGTTCCATTCCTCTCCCCCCTCTTCACTAGATTCTTTGTTACCTTTGGCACCATAAAGAACCTACATAAAGGATAAGAGAGGTGAAATCTCCAATCTTGTGCCATACGAGAGTATGACAGGAGAAGGTGTACATACTCAAACACAGCCAGTGCCACACAGACACTCAAATTCCAAATCCGATTATTCAATTAATTGTCATCAACAAGTATTCGTGGTTTCAACCTCAGGTTTCCAGCTTTTGGCATTTTAAATTTGCTACTTGAAGAGCTTTTGCAGCATAAATTGTCAGCAGCGCACCAGATATTTAACAAAGAGAAAGTATATGAGGTAAGAAAAGTATAAGGAAAAAATATAAACCAAGAAGAGGAGTTCATATACATACAGTATATGTGCCCACTTCAATGCACCTTTTTGCCCCAAGAATCTGGATGAGCATAGCAAGTAGTTGTGCTTGATCCGGTGACACCTATTACTAATAACAACAGTTAGTCAACATTTTAGTCCAAATATATCATTTTGTCAATCTCGTCATGAGAAAAAGCATCATCACTAATCACAGTCCTATCTTATAAAGCAAAGTTCTAAAACAATAAAAAGAACAAGGGAAATTTAAGTTCCAGTTGACCTTCAGTCTTTCAGAAAAAGATTCCCAATAACCGCATCTCATCCACTTCATCATAAGATGAGTGACTCAGATTGTATTTCATTTAAAGTTCAAATTTTCTTCAATTAAACATAAAGAGTCAGTTTTCATATATTTATTCGAGTGAATTTCCAAAGAATAAATTTATGTATACAACCACTGAGATCTTTTTTTCAAGTCAGACTCAGTCAGTAGTTGTTGTGTGTGACTTGGAGCCACACATCCAATAAATTTCCGAGGACCAAGGGTCATATAACATCCATAAATAACCCTTTTTTGAAAAGATCCATAGTTTTTTTTATGAACGAAGAGACTCTCGATATTTAAATACAGAAACTTAACAGGTTACTAAAGTCTTAGACTAGAAAGGTATCACGTGCATGTTTCAAAACTATGAACAGCAGAACAGCGGTAATGTGTAACTTACTTAGGAGGTAAAGGAAACAACAGTTAGCAAAGCCTAGGCTGACGAATTACCTGCATCTGACTGCCTCGCATTGTTGCTGTCTCCTCCCTAAGTTCACGCAAAATCTGAATGCAACCAAAAAAAAATAAAAGATAAGGAAATGAAGTCCAGATAGAGTACCTCCTTTCTTTTCTTTCTTTTCCCAATGTTTGCTTCTCTTCTCAAATTAAAATGGGTTTGCAACCAGAGCATTCACCTTTGGTTCTCTAACGTTTGACAATATGTAGTCATAAAGTGGCGAATCGACAGTTATAATTTGTTTACCACCATATCTAACATCACTTGCAACAGTAACTTGACTATCATGAAGTTTTGATGCCTGAAGCTGACAAAAGGAGAGAGCAGTTGCGGGCACATGCCTCGTCAAGGCTGAAGCATTTATGTGGTATATCAACGGAAAGAAACACCCATTAAATTTAGGTTGAGATAATGCAAATGAGTTGGTGCAGCGAAGCACCATGCGGCTGGACATAGGAGAAGTAATCAGCAGCCAATAGAGTTCAAGGAAAGTTGAACTCCCTGCAAGAAAACAAGTATAAAACGAAGCAGTTAGGAGAGTTGAAAAATAGGACACTAAAATTCAAATTAGCCAAGTGTTCTGACAGTCTCCCAGTACCTCTTGAGTGCTATGCTTTTTTATATTAAATTACAGGCAATAGAAGGAGCTAATATGAAAGAAAACAAACTTCTTTCTTTTTGGGATTTATCAACTCATTTTATATAACAAAGATAATGAGGATATACTAGTGGTGGGTAATGTGTTATATGGTTATCCATCTAGCTTAGGCTTCTTACCATCTCCAAAGTGGACTCCATTCGGTTCCCATGGCAAAGAACGAGTTAGCTTCAGCAAAATAAACTCTTTATATCTTATCATCTGGCAAGTGCAATTCACGTAATGGCATATTGAATCACAAATTTACATGGTTTATATTGGTAATGGTGTTACTTTGAACTAAATTTGTACATTTATATGTTAAAACTTTTTAGAATAAAAGAAAAGTAGGTAAAACTTTATTGTTTGAATCTCGAAATAAGTCAATAAAACAATAACTGTTAGAAATGAGTTAATCCAATCAACATGGGTAAAGAGGAAGTAATAATATGAGAATGTAGTGCAACAGTGAGAGTAATCATATAACATGTTTCTTACTACTACTTGATGGCCCCAAAAAGTGCAGAGACCGAGATATGGTTCACTATGAGGAGGCAAATTGAATGTCCATCCTGTTAAAGAGCGACTGGGGAGTGGATTTTGTAGTTTTGATTCCGCTTTTTCCCAACATTGAGTCAGTTAACAAGGGGCTGACAGTTCATTTTTGGAGCGAGGANAGTACATTCTGGAAAACTTTATTCAGCAAGGAGGCAACTGTTCGCTAAGAAAGCTGCATCGAAGCACCTAGAAAGAGGCAAAGAATATGTTGACTCCTGCATCTTTTGTTTAAAAGTAAACATATTTTAATCCATTGTCTATGGACTTGGAACTACTGGGGATTTATTTTTCCTCTTGGAGACATGGATAGGTAAAGCCCCAGTCAGTTAAGATGTGCTCTTGACTTGGAACAGTTTGGGTGTTGGAAAAAACCAGGACAATATGGAGGGTTTCCAAAATGCTTATTTTGGAATATCTGGTTGGAAAGAAAGAAGGATATTTCTAGGGGAAGATTTGTCAACATCACGTTTCAATCACCCACTATACTTGTAATGTATGCGATACATATCCGAAATCCCAGATTGACATTTATGGTTTTCTGGAAAAATTAAGCTTGTACAATTGACTACTTGATGTATTTTGTGTAATCTTCATACAGTAGTCTAACTTTGTATAATTTTAAGAAATCCAATAGTGCCATATTAATCAAATTTTCAATTACTTATGATGCCAGCACTCTAGGTTATTCAGACAGCTATACTTTATGCCCTCGTAACTGCTATCACTAATGCCAGGAAATGAAGGCCAGGCACCATGTTTTCCAGACATGTAAGGCCTATGGTATTTATGATTAACAGGTGAATTTTGACAGATTTTGTAGTATGCATTATACAAGGTACAATTTCGAATAAAACATCAAAGAAAAGAAAACTCATAGATTGGCACAAATAGTAGGATTGGCGTGATCTAGCTTCCCAACTTGAATCATGTATAATCTTACTCCGATGGTACGGATTTTATATTATAAATTGACATCTGGATCAATTTGGAAGGTAGGATTGTAGCATCGTATAATCCAGATCACCACAGAGGTAGATCTTCTAGGCTTTTAACAAATTTGTATGCCACAAAGACTTCCTCTTTAGTGTTGATTCAATTGTCTTAGGCAGATCTAGAGGAAATGAGGAATCAGATATGGTCCACAGGTTCAAAACTCGAAGAGTATGCCCGGAGGGATCTACCCTGCTCCCATTGAAAAACTAGACTTCAGTCAACAGTAGTTTTCAAGCTCGTAACATGCACCCTACTCACATATCCTACGTTGCATCGCTACCACTGAACCAAAGCCTTGGGTGCCAACCAATTATCTGTCTTGTGAAATGTTTCTTCTCTTGCTTTCGCGGTTACCTCATATAAGTTCCTACTCATTGCTCTTGCCGGTCAACACCAGTGGCGAAGTCAGAAATTTTACTAAGGGGTGTCAAAATATAGTATGTATACTTAGTGGACCTTCCAAAGTTCTATAGCCTTTCACCATTTCGGGAGTTCACAACCCTCAGAGCATCATTCACCATAATATCATCTTACTCAGCTATTTCTAATTTTCCACTGTTAAAACATCCCTTCTAACCAATATGATATATTTCATAGTGGACCTTGGTTTTCTTATTTTCAGTTCTTTGCATTAACCAGTCCTAAATTAAGTGTAGCTATATCACAAGCTCATGTAACAACTAAGAAGCGAGAAAAATAACACTTTATTCAACGAAAATAAAATGGAATAAGCCACATGGGAAAAATTACCCAGAAAAAGAAAACGAAAAATAAATAGAGAGAATTGACGAACCTCAAAGAAATCTCTGGTGAACTGTTGGGAAAATTAGCCGAGTCTCTGGTTCTTCAGTTTGCTTTGTTTGTTTTCCCTTTAATTCCACCAACAAAGATAAAGCTCTACGAAATGTCAATTTTAGACATCATTATGTAAATTGTATGACAACTGTAAGGGTATAACTGTCATTTCAATTACAATATTTTTTATTCGTATTCAATAATTTTAAAAAAGAAACGAAAAATATTTACCTTCCATCTTCACTAACCAATGACTCAAAAACAAAACAAAACCTAAAACCCCTAAACCTCATCACTCAACAATGGCAGCTACAACAAAGTTTCTCCAACTCCGGCCAAAACTCAAACCTTTCCCTGAACCCAACCCCATTTTCCCCCATTTCTTCTCTTCGAACTCTAATTCCGATCACCCCCAAATCCCTAATAATACACCACCCCCTCCCTCAGAACCACCCCACCAACCCCCCACACCTAAACCCTTCTCTTTTTCCTCTATCGCCAATAATCCCAGAAACCAAAACCCTTCTTCTAAAACCCCATCTTTAGAAGAAATTAGAAAAAACCTCGCTGAGTTCCGCCGCCGTTCTGATTCTATTCCTCCACCGCCGTCATTTCAAGAAATCTACAAAAGAAATGTCAATAATGCCCCCAGACCGGGCCCCACTGGAAAGCTTGACCTTAGCGCCATTCGCGCTAACCTCCGTAACTTTAACAACAACAATAACAACAACAACCAGAATAATGAGAATAGAGGGAAGTTTTTTGACTCGTTATCCCTCTCGCGATATAAAGATAGTTTAAAGTTGAGACCCAATATGGATAAAGTGATTGGTGGGAGTGAGAATTTGCCTGTGTCAATTTTTGGTAAGGAAATGATGAGGGATATAGATGGTGGTGATAAGGAAGGTACGAGGCCTGAGTTTGTTAGGATGTACAGTCATGGTGAATTAGGTGAGAAGTTGAAAATGTTGAGGCCCGCGAAAAAGAAAGAGGGTGAGAAGGGTTGGTTTTCGTTGAAAGAGTTGAAGGATAGATTGGCGAAGCTGAGGGAGACTGAGGAGAAAGAGAGCAAGTTGAGGATGGCTGGCGACATGTTTAGGGACATAAAAGCTTCTCTTGTTAAGTTGAGTACTGATGATGAGGAGAAGGCTAAGAGGACAATGAGTGAGTTTGCCTTCCCCCCCCCCCCC